CACATATCTCCAGACACTGGGGTGAATGATGGAGTGTGGTGGTGGGGCCCATTAAGCTCCGCCGACCAGAGGTCTCGGCTTCATAGCTCCATGGACGCACCAAAGGGATATTGGGTAGGGAGGATTAAATTGAAAAAGAAAACAGAAGAAAGAAAATGGAAAGATTGTATTGCTCAGTGAGCAAAAGAATAAGTTGAGTATTGATGTGAACGCTGTTAGACTTTTAAATTCAAGAGGAGACTGTCCGTGAGGAGAGATTACATGTATGTCCAAGCAGGCTAGGACAATGTACCCTCTTACTCGCGTATGCTATGAGTGGCCCAGTGCCAGTTCGTTCTGAGGAGATGGTGATAAGCTGCTGTCTTGAACTTTTGGATGTTCTTTGGGTGAAATGGGTGGGGAATGATAGAGGTAGGCAGCTGGTTCCAAATTGGGATGACGGAGTGGGGAAAGGCTCGGCTCACATTGTTCCTGGAATTGGCAGGAAGAACATTCTGTAACTGATGGGGATGCGCGGTGGACAGTCGTACAGCCTGGCGGGTGAGGCGTGTGGTCCTGGGTTGGTGTGTCGGGGGTGGAGCCATTCTCGAGAGAAGAGCGGGAGAATTATCGCAAAGGGCTTTATACAGGAGGCAGAGGGCAGCGATGGTGCGTCGAATTATGAGGCTAGGAAGCCAGCATTGCGGATGTATTGCCTTGATGGCTCGCTTCTGCACCCAGTCCAGCCGATTCAAGTGGGAAGAAGCTGCCCCCATCCAGACGATTGGGCAGTACTCCATAACCGGCCGGACAAAGGCTTTGTAGGCTCGAAGCCGGGCAGGAATAGTCAGCAAGTGAAATGCCTTGCGCAAGGCTCCAAGTCTCTGCGTTGCTCGGACTACAACAGTTCGGATATGCTGGCTGAATTTTAGCTGATGGTCAAACGTGACGCCGAGTACCTTGATGGAGGGCTGCTCCTCGACAGGAGTTCCATTGAAGACAATGGGGGGTATTGGCCAGTCCCGACGATGGTGGGAAATTGTAAGGGCCTGAGATTTGGCTGGCTCGAACTGCACTTTCCAATCCGAGCCCCAACTGGATACTAGGTCGACAGCAGCCTGGAGTACTCTAGCGTTGTCAGGAACAGCAGCGAGCGTTGCAATTTCGGCGTATAGGGTTGTGTCATCGGCGAATGAGGCAAGGTTGGAGCCGATTGGGAGGTGGTCTTCAAGGTCGTTGACGTAGACCAAGAATAAGGTGGGGCCCAGGATACTGCCCTGTGGCACCCCAGCCTTAACTGGGCGTCTGGCTGATGTCTGGCCGGAGATGAGGACTTGAAGTGTGCGGTTGCAGAGGTAGTCTTGGAGCCACCGATGCAGGTCTCCCAAGATGCCATACACTCTAGCCTTGTGCAACACACCAGTGTGAGACACCCGGTCAAATGCTCCAGCAATGTCGATGGCCAGCACTCGAGAAGCTCCTTTATCTCCGGCGGTGTGCACCCACTGGTGGTGGAGAGCAGTCAGCAGGTCTGCTGCACTGTGGCCGCGACGGAATCCAAATTGCCGTTCTGACAGGACGTGATTCGTCTCCATGAAGTTGCTCATTGCCCTGTTGACTATGGTCTCCATGACCTTGGAGAGGATGCTCAGTAACGACACTGGTCGATAGTTTGATGGCGACGATTTAGACTTGCGCTTGTGGACTGGAACCACGTTTGCAACCTTCCACTGTTGTGGCTGGATACCGGAGCGAAGACAGCATGTAAATAGTTTTGAAAGCGGCCGTGCCAATTCTGCAGAGCAAGCTTTCAAGACGCGGGCAGGTATCCCATCTGGGCCAGTGGCCTTGGTGGGGTTGAGCTGGCGGAGAGTTCGCTCGACTGTGGTTTCGCGAAACCGGACGGTGCAGAGGTTGCGGTCAGTACGTGGTCGGACGTAAGGAAATGGAGCGGATAGGTCGTCTGCCCCTAGACTGCATTTGTTGGCGAAGTGTTCGGCCATGCACTCTGCTTTGCTGCGGTTGGTGTCGTGCTCCGTACCATCGGTGCTGCGGAGAGTAGGTATGGATGGGCTGTTTCCGTGGCCAGAGGCCTTCTTGATGGTTCGCCACCATTCACCAGACGCCATACACCCAGAGGCTAACTTCTGCGCCAGGCTTGCTGTGAATGCCTGCTTGGCAGTTGCCAGGCAATGGTTAGCCGAGTGCTTGGCGACATTGTAACGGGCTTGCAGCTGGGCACTTGACCGGTCGGCGCAGAGTCTCCTCCATGCTCTTTGTTTCTGTGCTACAGCCTCAGTGCATTCCGGTGTCCACCAAGAGGGGTTAGATGGTTTCATGCACAACTGCTTAGACGGTATGTATCGGCGCATTCCTTCCAGAATATTCTGGGTCAAGTGCATACACATTGCATCAGGATCATCACTGACAGTGGACTGCCAATCTGTTGTTCTAAAGAAGTGGCGGAGTCTGTCCCAGTCTGCGCGTTGGTAACGCCAGACAGTTCTGGTCACTGGTGGTTCCTCTGCTGTGCTTACATGAAAGTCAGCTAGGACACAGGCATGGTCAGAGTTTCCCAGAGGTGCTAAGGTATTGTCCAGTACAGCCCACATGTACTCAGGGTGCTGCTGGGAGCACAGAAGACGATCCCCATCAGAACAACTGGCAAGAACAGCGGCGAAGGAGCAATAAATCAGCGGCCCACAGCGATCCCATTGCCCGGGCAACAAAATCCAAAGTTGTGTCTGTCTACAGAAAAATGGCCACAGAAAACCCCAACCCCAACACACTCACTGGCACACATCTTCCCAAGCGATGTGCCTTCTTTGTCGGGAATGTTAGCCCTGGAAGTAAGGCACAGTCCATTGTCACCTGGTGCGCTGATAGGGGCGTTGATGTATACGCATGCACAATTGCCGAAACCCAATACTTTGGTACCTGCTATGCACGCGTTTCTGTCGTGGAAGAGTTTGAGCAAACGCTGCTTGACAAGGAATTCTGGCCCGACACCATTGCGCACACCGTCCGCAAATGGCGCTATGCCGACTCCGCTAGCAAGTGATGGGTCCTTGGTCACCTAGCCAACAGCTAAATCCTCTTGCCCAACCCTTTGTGCCCCACGCAAGTTCATCACACCCTTCCCCTCATTGCGTTACATATTCTTCTATATCTAGTGGTCATATTCCACTTGCACCACCATTCCTTCCTGATTTTGGACGACAAACTACTAAAACTCCTAATCAACAGCAGCTCCACGACGCCCCCTACCACAAACTAATGTCGGTCTTCACCCCGTTGAGCGCTCATGCTTTCCCGTTTTTTCCCGGACCACGCACATTCTATTAACATTGTAACTACATGTATCAACTGTCGCTCTGTAACAAACAAACTTCCGGAATTGTACGCAATATGTGATGCCAACAAGCCCACCATAATATGTTTAACAGAAACCTGGCTAATCCCGTCACTTTTATTCAGTGTTCCAGGCTACACATGCTTCCGTAAAGACAGATCTACACATAAGAACCTGTCGGAGTCGTGGTGACGCCTGGTACCGTTCAGGTTTCAACAGGTCACATTACAGGACTGCACTTTGCGTGCATTCATCGAGCACTACACCTGTAGCCATGCATGACTGCCTCAAGCTCCATACATGTGCATGACTCATACCATAATACGATAAGGTCAAGTGTCTGACCGCCAACACGTACTCATTAGACTACGTCTAGCCAGTGCAGGCTGTCGTAATAAAACGACTCATCCGTGTTCCATTCCCGTGCATGGTACATGCATGGTGCGACGGCACAATGACAGCTATCGCAAATCACACTGAGTATTACACGTGTTTTTTGGTGATTCCTGGTTAGCTGCTAGCTTTTCCCTACTCGAAGTTGTTGCCGCCGCGAAATCTGGGGGTTTGTGTTCGTCCTGGCGAAAACCGTGTTTTGATCCGTTGAGGGAGACGAGAGATACAGTGCGAAGACGTACGATCTGTCCGAGAATCGGCGAAGAAGAAAGCTTCGCAGACTACCCGTAGTGGTTGGGAACAGAATGGAACATATACCAGTCGATGCCTGTCATGGTAGGGATGACTGCTACGAAGTTTTAGCCCCATGCTCCCCAGCGCTTTTTAGCGCCCGACGATAATTACCAAATTTCATCGATTTTCCATGTGGATCAAAGCATAGTCTCCTCAATCTTCTCCAGTCGAGCAGAGTCTGGACGCTACAATGTCGAGACGCGAAAAGAGAACATGCATGAACACACAGGAGCATCACATGCAGCTGCATTCTGCCTTGACGACGCTGAGAACAACACCAGCACCACGCATTTGGAAGACATTATTTTCGAAGAAGACGAAGAACTACATATCCGCGTTCAAAAAAGCCTCTGTACTGCGTGTGTGCATGCAGTATGCATGCATGCATGCATGCGCGAAGCACGGGGGTCCGCGGATCAACTTCGCTCAAAAATCATTGTGCCACACGGGTTGTATGATTTGTGTGCGATCATGGTCTTTCTTCTTGACAAACAAAAGTGAAGTTTTTCGATCTTCAAATCGCCATAGCGTCCTTGTCATGACTCCAAATCAGCTGAAACTTTGCAGGAGGAATGAAAATGCCATGCTGAATCGATTGGTACCATTTTCGAAGGGTTTCCTTGAAAAATAAAATTTAGCCTGCACTGGCTACTACGTCACGCATTCACCATTGACAGTGTTGCTTGTACTCCCTATACACATCGACGCTTGCTTATACATGTAGCTGTGTATTCTTTGTTCTACAGTCAGTTCTAGCTAGGTTCTTGATAGGTTTTGCTAGGGCATTGTTAGAGTGCATCCAAGATAATCCAAGATGGAGTTGGTGTTTTGAGAGTGAGAACTCGAACCAGTAAAGTTTGTCTCCATTGTTGAACGTGGGTTCGGAAAGTATCCGCAGTCGGTATTACAGTTACGGTACTGATGCAACCTGGTTCCGGGGAATACGGAACATAGTGGTCCTTCGAGCCGGATCACGTCCACGATGGAGAAGCTCAGGCGGAGTCAGCGCACGACGAAAGGCGTCGCAGCGCCAAAACTCGGGTACACAGACACCCAGTCCTACGCTGGTGCTAGTGGTGGAGATGACAGGATGACCGAAAGTAGGAGCCAAGCCGTCACCGCGAATTCAGCTGACAGGCTCAGGGCCAGGATAGCCGTGTTACAAGCGGAACAGGCTGTGGCGGAAAAGCGGCTGGAAATCGCCCGGTTGACGGAGCAGGCGATGTCGGAAGCCGAAGGGACGTTGAGGGAAAGGTCCGTTGAGACCTCCAGCTCTCCTGCGATGCGAGAAGAAGTCTTCCAGGAAGCGGGTGAGTTGCATGAGGCGGTTGCAGCCCAAGATACGTCGCTTATCGACTTTGACGATGATGTAGTTGCACCTAGTTCAGTTGCTGTTCCAACACCAACAGAGTCACACACGGTAGTCGGTGTAGAATCTCAGCCATCAGAAGGAGAGGCTTCCCATAGATCTACGCACGGAACGTCAGAATCAGCAGTAGGTCTACACCATGCAGAGGCCTGTCAGGCTAGCACACCACCACCGGTAGACGTAGTGATAGACGCACATGTAGAGAGGGACTCAGATGTCCAGCATGTCCGTGCATTCACTCCGGCACACAGCTACCACTACCAGGCACCGCCATGCGTAGTCCAAGATCCGATTCATGAACACCTGAATGAACCTCCGTTTCATCAACCAGAACCGCAGGCACAGGCACAGACACAGGTACTTCAAAGAACGATTGAACACACCACTGCTGTTGTAGCCGATGCCACTTACGCTGACTATCTAAGCGAGTCCATTCAGCGGGGAATAGGGCCCGAGCCCTGGGATAGGACATTCGTAGAGCGTCAGCAACTGCCGAGATCCAGTACTGGCAGTAGTCTACGCAGTGTAGAACGTGAGTTCCGGGCCAAGGAAGTTGCGTATCAGCAGCAACTACTACAGCTTCAGACGATGATCGATGAATCCGCGATCGTCGAGAAGCGGCGCCAGCGAGACGCTTACGCACTGCAGACGAACCTAGAGGAAGCTGAGGCGAGTAGGGCAATGGTCGAGCTAGCGTGCGACAAGCAAGCCAGGGATCTTGCGGCAGAACGAGAACGCAACGATGAGCTGGCCCGATCGATGACAGAGCTGAGGCAGCGGCTATTCGCAGCGGAGTATGCCCTACGAGAAAGCCGTGCCAGACAACGACGAGCGCCGAAGTCTGGTAGTGTCACTGAGCCTGTTAGAGAAGTACAAGGCTTACCGGTAGTGCAACCACAGCCTGCACAGGTCCACGAGGAGAGACGTGGGCGCTGCGAGTCGACCGCAAGCACAAGGCATAGCGGTATCCCGAGCACTACGTCACCCAGTCACCCACACGCATCCATGCCAGTACCCGCACCACGAAAGCACCGTCGCGACACGAGTGCACGTGCACGCGGCTACATGACAGTCTCAGACTCCGACTCAGAGTCAGGGCCGCGTGGATACTCTAGTGCCAGAGCTACGGAGACGTGTACCGGTGGTAAGGGCGCAGCAAGTAAGGCGAGTGAGGTCGAAGACGCGTACATGAGTGGTTGTACCTCTACTACCGGTACTATTACTGGCAGCACAGTTAACAGCAATCCTGCGCGTCAGATGGCAGACCTGGCCAGTGAGTTTGTAGGTGCAATCACCCAGGCCCTACGTCAAGGGCAGACCTCCCAGGTCGAGAATAGTAACGCTGGCATCAGACAGCTGGCTGCACGCCAATCATCCACCAGCAGCAAGCTGCCAATCTTCTCTGGCAAGCCGGAGGAATGGCCCGCGTTCCTCGCGCTGTACCGAAGCAGCACGGAGCAATGCGCATACTCAAACGCAGAGAACGTCCAGCGCCTGCAGACCTGCCTGAAGGGACCAGCCCAGGAGGCAGTACAGCTGCTCCTGGCCGTGCCAGACAATGTAGACGAGGCCATCCGGACACTGGAGCGTCGTTTCGGCCGGCCGGAATTGGTAGTGAAACAGCTAATCGAGCAGGCCAAGGCGCTGAAGCCAGCCAGAGCAGAGGACACGGACGCCCTGCACTCCTTGGCCACATCTGTGAGGAACATCGTCCTCACTATGCAGCTGCTAAAGAGCCATGGCCACAGGAACAACCCTGCGCTCCGTGATGAGCTGGTGGCCAAGCTGTCGCTCCCCCATCGAATGCAGTGGGGCGAGTATGTGAAGGCCAAGGGCCTTAGTACGGATGAACTAGACCTTGGTGTCTTGTCTGAGTGGTTGGCCGAACGAGCGGAAGCCGCCTCTCTGGTGACACCAACCTCCACCAAGACGGCCGCCGTTCAGCCAACCCCACCGCCTAGAAGGTCAACGACCCTGGCCGCAGTAACAGCGGGCACTACCCGCGACGCCACCTCTGACTCCCCAAGGAAGAAGAAGAGCTGCAGGAAGTGCATGGAAGAGCACGCAATGGCGCAGTGCAAGGAGTTCCAACAGCTACCCGTCCAGAAGCGATCAGAGCTGGTGCGCCTCTTGGGCCTGTGTGTGAACTGTCTACAGGACGGCCACTTCGCCAGAAATTGCACCTCGAGCCACTGCAGGAAGTGCAAAGGCAAGCACAACACGCTGCTCCACAGGGACGACTCTGACAGGCCTAGCAGCGGTAGCCAACAAAACGCCGCTCGCACCAACATCGCGAATATGGCTTCTGCAGCGAGCGCCCTGCATGCCGAAACCCCAGCAAACCTACCAGCTCTGATGACGACTGTGGGGACAGTGAGATGTGGAGACGTCGAGCTACAAGCAACGATCATGCTGGATTCTGGGTCCACCTGCAGCTTCATCACCACCGACATGGCTGAGAAGCTGAATGTCCCACCCGGTGAGACCACGTCCGTGCGCACGACTGTTCTCGGTGGCAGCTGTCTGCAGCACGAGTCCAGGATCGCTCCCATAGAGATCTGTCACAAAGACTCAACTGCAACAACCCCAGTGCAGGCGGTCGTTCTCCCTCAGATAACCGCCGACATGCAACGTGTGGACTGGGATGCGCAGAAGGCAAGCTGGCCACACCTGCGCGGGATGAATCCGGATACCCCAGCTAACCCAACTGTGGACATCCTACTGGGCCTTGACGTTCCACAGTTGCACGCCTCGCTAGCCGAACGCCGTGGGCCTGGCCATGGTCCAATCGCAAGAAAGACACCACTCGGATGGATTTGTTTCGGTCTCCTGGAGGGGAGCGGAACATCGGCGGAACCAACCGTCTACCACGCCACACATGCCGCGACCGCAGAGCCCACCGAGCCAACCCTGGAGCTGAATGCCATGGTGCGTAGCATGTTCAATTTAGACACCATCCGCTCTACAGCCACGGGAGAGACCATGTCTCGAGCTGAGCGTGAAGCCGAGAAGGTGACTGACGACACCATGAGCCTCAACTACAACCGTGTCACCATTGGCATCCCGTGGGTCGCTGAAGACAGAAAGCCTCACGTGACCTCGAACAGACCGATGGCCCAACAACGACTGGCGAGTCTCCAACGGTCCCTGTACAAACGACCTGAGCTCGCAGCAGCGTACGCCGGTGTCATCCAACAGTACCTGACGAAGGGGTATATCCGCGAGGTGCCCGAGACGGAAGTGCACAACGATGCGGATGACCAGTGGTTCCTGCCCCACTTTCCCGTGATCAAGGAGGACCGCACCACCACCAAGGTGCGGATAGTGTTTGACGCGGCGGCCAAGAAGAACGACGTCTCGATCAACGAGGAGATGCACGCCGGCCCAGCACTACAGAACAACATCGTGAGTTGCCTACTCAAGTTCTGTAAGGAACCTGTGGCTCTGATGGCAGACATCAGCGAGATGTTCCTGCAAGTGGAGCTGGCTGAGAGAGACCGCAGGTATCACCGATTCCTGTGGGAGGTCGACGGAAGAGCCAAGGTGTTCGAATTCCAGCGAGTGTGCTTCGGGTGTAAGGCGTCGCCATACCTCGCCGGAAAGGCCGTCCAGGCTGTCGCGGCCACCTATGCCGCCGAAGGGTCACCCACACACACCATCATCATGGACAACCTCTATGTGGACGACCTACTCGCGTCTGCGCCAACGCCAGAGGCGGCGGTGGGCCTACGTACTGACGTCCAGGAGACACTGGCCAAGGGAGGTTTCCATCTACGGAAGTGGATGTCGAACAGTGCAGAGGTCATGAAGTCTGTGCCAGAAGCCGACCGGGCGCCGAACACGCTGATCTCGGTAGCTGACCACCAACACCCCACGCTACCCTGCGTGAAGACGCTAGGAGTCGCCTGGGATGCTGAGAGCGACCATTTCACGTTCAAGTACCAGGTGCCCGTCATCACGCAGTACACCAAGCGCACTGTCCTGAGCAAGATGGCCTCTCTGTTTGACCCACGAGAGCAAGTGTCACCCTACACCATCCGAGCAAAGGTCATGTTCCAGGACGCCTGCCTCCGCGGGCTGGAATGGGATGAGGAGTTCGCAGAGCCTGAGGCTAAGGGTTGGAGGAAGTTCTTCGAGGAACTGCCCAAGCTAGAAGCCGTGAGAGCCACCAGGTCATTCAAGGACCCAGACCGGGATCCGGCCGATGCAGAGCTCAGCCTCCATGTGTTCGTTGACGCATCCGACGCAGCAGTCGCAACAGCAGTCTACGTACGGGCGAGTTATCCAGACGGCATGGCTCGGTCCACGCTGGCCATGGCCAAGGCTAAACCAGCCCCGCTACACCGACAGTCGATCCCCATGCTTGAGCTACGAGCAGCTGTACTCGGCGCCGAGGTAGCCGAACAAGTCGCCCAAGCCCTCGGCATCAGCTCGTCCGACATCACGTACTGGAGTGATAGCCTCAATGTCCTGTACTGGCTTCGCTCACACAGCCGCCGTTTCAAAGTCGAGGTGGGCAACAGGGTCAGCAAGATCGAAGCACTGTCGGACCCCCGTCAGTGGAGGCACGTTCCGACATCAATCAACCCTGCGGACAAGGGCACCCGGGGCCTATCTGCAGCCCAGCTCGCATCCGATGACGACTGGTGGCATTGCCCGAAGTTCCTACGCGGACCCGAGAGTGCATTCCCGGCGCGGCCGATCGAGGTTCCCAGTAGTCTGCCGGCAGAGCTGAAGAAGCGATCCGCTATGTCGTTCAGCGCGGTTCCAGGGAAGTACCAGCTTGACCCCTCCAACTTCTCGTCTTGGACGCGGCTCATCCGTGTCACCGCTTGGTGTCAGCGCTTTGTACGTAACGTCCGTATACCGAGGGAGGCTGGCGCCAACAGACCAACACCCGCTCCACGACGCAAGTTTGGATCTGCCAAGTCAGTGAACGGTATGACAGTACCCGATCTCTCCCCTGCAGAGGTCCAGGCGGCCGACGTGTTCTGGGTACGGAAGGCCCAGGAGGAGGTGTATGGCAAGGTCATCAAGCGACTGGAGTCCGGCAAGGAACCCGATCCCAACGAGCCATTGCTGAAGCTGCGACCCCAGCTGGAGGAGGTACATGGCACAACCGTACTGACGGTCGGTGGGAGACTCACCACTGCACACCATCTGCCGCTGACGACAAGACACCCCATCATCCTGCCACCGAAACATCGGGTCACAGCCCTGATCGTGGATGACGAAGACGAGAGATGTCAGCACTCCATGGGTCCCAACCACCTGCTGGCCAACCTCAGCAACCGGTACTGGCTGATAAACGGGAAGTCCGTTGTGCGACAGCATCGCCACAGGTGCGTCAAGTGCCGACGAGGCTACGCGAAGGCTTTGACTCCAATCATGGGAGGGTTGCCGGATTACCGGACCTCGTCACCACTTATCGCCTTCAGCAAGGTGACCATCGACTTTGCCGGTCCATTTCTGACGCGCCAGGGACGAGGCAAGGTGCAGCAGAAGCGGTATATCTGCGTATTCTCGTGCCTGCTGACCAGAGCAATACATCTGGAGCCCGTCAACTCGCTCGACACAGATGGGTTCTTGATGGCGATGACCCGATTCTGCAAGAGGCGTGGAACCCCGGAGTTCATAGTGACAGACAACGGGTCGAACTTCACCGCCGCAGAGCGACAGCTGCGCGAAGCCACCTGCACGATAGATCAAGACCGCCTAACCACCCACTCCGAGCTGCGAGATGTACAGTGGCATTTCAACCCACCGAGAACGCCCCACTTCGGTGGTGTAGTAGAAACGATGGTCAAGGCAGTCAAACGCGCACTCTGGCATGTGCTGCACCAGGCTGGCCTCACGGATGAGGAGTTCTCAACAGCGCTGGTACATGCCGAGGCAATGCTGAATTCCCGTCCCCTTACCACCGTATCATCTGACAGCGACGATCCAGAAGCGTTGACGCCAAACCACTTCCTGATGGGACGCGCGGCTGCAGTCACACACCTCGAGGCGGAGACAGAGGATCTGGAGAAGGTCCACCCCAGACGGCGCTGGCTGTTTCTACAAGTGCTGACAAGGCAAGTTTGGCTGCGCGAGATGGTCCCGGCGCTAAACGTCCGGTCCAAGTGGTACAGGAAGGCAAAAGACGTCGAGGAGGGTGAGGTCTTCCTTGTCATGGATGAGAGTACTCCGCGCGCGACATGGCCTCTGGGACGCGTCACAGCCACATACCCAGGGCAAGATGGTGTCGTCCGTGCAGTCAACGTGAAGATCAAAGGCAAGGAGTATCGACGATCAGTTCATCGCCTCATCCCACTGGAAGTAACAGAGGGTGAGGTGGAGCTCGACTCCGAGAACTGCCCAGCCACAGCCAACGTCAATGTGGACAATGTCACCAGCTGAGCGAATAGTGGATGGTGGTACGGCAGTGGCGATGAGGTAGTAAGGCTGTGACTGTAGTGTTAGCAAGCAATCCACAATCAGAGTGAACAATACATCCAACCGGCTAGATAAGACGTATCCTCGTTCCCGGATATGTCTAGTGACATTACGGCATGCATTTGACACAATGATGTTAGGTGTGACATCCAATAGCAGTTCCCCAGGAGTTAGAACATCACTCGGAATATTAGTTTGTCTCACTCGCATACATTGATTAGGCTATGATTCGTTCGCGAGGGAGGTATGTCGGAGTCGTGGTGACGCCTGGTACCGTTCAGGTTTCAACAGGTCACATTACAGGACTGCACTTTGCGTGCATTCATCGAGCACTACACCTGTAGCCATGCATGACTGCCTCAAGCTCCATACATGTGCATGACTCATACCATAATACGATAAGGTCAAGTGTCTGACCGCCAACACGTACTCATTAGACTACGTCACGCATTCACCATTGACAGTGTTGCTTGTACTCCCTATACACATCGACGCTTGCTTATACATGTAGCTGTGTATTCTTTGTTCTACAGTCAGTTCTAGCTAGGTTCTTGATAGGTTTTGCTAGGGCATTGTTAGAGTGCATCCAAGATAATCCAAGATGGAGTTGGTGTTTTGAGAGTGAGAACTCGAACCAGTAAAGTTTGTCTCCATTGTTGAACGTGGGTTCGGAAAGTATCCGCAGTCGGTATTACAGTTACGGTACTGATGCAACCTGGTTCCGGGGAATACGGAACAGAACCTGAGATCAAACCTACGTGGCTATGGTGGCGTGGCCATTCTCATACGTGATGGGACATTTCCACATTGCACCCGTCGCCATGACCTTGATTCTCCCCAAAGCGAGGCCTTATGGCTTGAGCTTGGTGCACCGGCAGGTCTCCGGGCCAATCCCCTACTCATTTGCTGTCATTACCGCCCCCCTTCACAATCCTTCTTGATATCACCTCCTTTTGCGACACACTTACCGACACGCTGTGTTCCTTGGACCTCTCTTTATTTGATGTTTTTCTTACCGGTGACTACAATGCCCACAATTCTGACTGGTGGAGTTGTGACACCACATCGCGTGCTGGTACGGAGCTATCACACGTGTTCTCTAGCTTTGGCCTCCAGCAGCTTGTCAATTTCCCCACCCGTGTCGCTCCGAATGGAAGACTGTCCTGTCTGGACTTGCTGGCTACGAACCGCCCCCTCTCTGTACGTTCTGTTGACGATGCTGCCCCGCTTGCTGCATCGGATCATTTGCAAGTCATTACAACGCTAGCCTACAACATTGCCACTGCTAACACCTCTTACAACTGCTCTCAGACTCCTACCCCTCCGCGACATGCCTTCCGCAAGGTTACACCCTCCACTTGGTCAATCATCAACTCTGCACTTTTTGCCTGTGACTGGCATCTTTTATTCACCTCCACTGCTGCTGATGAAGCTGTGGAGAAGTTCACCACAGTTCTTGATGACGTGCTCTCCTTCTATGTGCCACAATACGGAGCAAGACCCGCTACACCCAAACATGGCAGCCACCACCCTCGTCAGTCCAGCCGTAACCCCAAGATCCCTTGGCTCGACAAAGATCTCCAAGGTACAATTAAACTCAAATACGACTACTATAGCTTAAGTAAGAAGTACTCCACCTACGCTAATATTTCTTTATACAAAAAACAGCGCAATCTGGTGAAGTCATTGTCACGTTCTAAGTATCGAGCATATTTACGTTCGCTCACTACCACCCTATCTCACCCCTCTTCCAGGCCTAACCTGTATACCTTTGTTCGCACTCAAAGGACAACTAGTACACGTCAAGACATACCACCGTTATTAGCTTCCAATGGTTCGATGGTGACTGACCCCAAGTCTATAGCTAATACTCTCAATACGCAATTCACATCAGCTGGTATTCCAGACGCCCATTCCTCTCCAATACCACCTCTGCAACGTTCTGCGACTGTGTCTTCTGATCTGCGCTCTATACATACCACCACATCATCTGTTCGCAGCTACCTAAAAAGACTAAAAAGCAACAAAAGCCCTGGTCCTGATGCCCTACCAAATGAAGTTCTCAAAGTTCTGGCTCCATCTCTGGCGTACCCACTGTGCCTTATATTCAACCTTTCCTACTCCTCCGGCGTATTTCCTGATCGTTGGAAGATCGCTAAGGTCACGCCCATCTACAAGTGTAAAGGCTCCCGATTACAAGCCTCAAACTATCGTCCAATATCTCTTCTCTGCTCCCTTTCAAAAGTATGTGAAAAGGTATTTTACGACCAGTTGTATTGCCACATTTCACCATGCCTTAGCCCTTCCCAATCTGGCTTTCGGCGCAACGACTCAACCTCTGACCAACTAGCTCGTCTAGTACAAGACATTGCCACCCTTCGTGATGCTCGACACCATATTTCTCTCTGTTTCTTTGACTTGGCAAAGGCCTTTGATACTGTCTGGCATCGTGGCCTCCTTGCCAAGCTACATATTGTCTTTGGTGTGTCTGGCCCTGCTCTGTCCTGGCTGGAGTCCTATCTGAGTAGCCGATCACAGTTTGTTTCTGCCCTCTCCATCAACTCTGATCCTCTACCAGTGTCTTCTGGAGTTCCCCAAGGCTCCATACTTGGACCTCTTTTGTTCGTAGCATACGTTAATGATTTACCCTCTATAGACCCAGGTGTCTCGTTATTTGCTGATGATACAACCCTACTGTCCGCATCCTCGTCCTCAGCGGCTCTTGTACCTCGAGTGTCGGCTCAGATATGCAGTGTCCTACGCTGGATGCAAACATGGCGACTTAGACCCAACCTGACTAAAACCGAAATAATGTTCCTTCCCCCAATCTCATCCATGTCACTTTTACACCATCCTGATTTCCCAGAACCCATAAAGGTTGTTTCCAACCATAAACACCTGGGAATAATGCTTGATGATCGTCTCTCTTGGTCTTTCCATATTGATGCTCTTTGCAGCCGTTCAAGCTCTGCCCTAGGTGTTATACGTCCCCATTGTTCCCATCTTCCTTTCAAATGTAAAATTTTGTTTTACAAACTGTACATCCTGCCTCTTTTCATGTACGCTGCTGTTAGCTGGTGTGGCTTGTCCTCGGTTCTCGCTGAGCGTCTCGAAATCCACCATAGAAAACTTCTTCGTATCCTGTTTAGTCTACCCCCTCTCTACTCTTCTGCTTCCCTGTATGTCCTTGCAAATGCTTGCCCACTGTCGACCCACCGTCAAAAATTAATTTGCACTTTTGCTCACAAATTTAAACTAGCTCTACATCCTCCTCATCTTAACGTGTATAACTGGTTCCAAATCACAGATGGCTCCCAGACAAGATGCTCTGTTGCCCTCCCCTTGGCTAAAACGTCCTCCCTTGTACGCTCTCCACTCTTTGTTGCTTACTCTGCTTGGCTTGCGCTGCCCGCTACTACGCGCAATGCCAGTACCCTGGACGCATTTAAATCTGCTCACTAGATTCACCATCACCTGTCCCTCCCATGCTTCTCCGTCTTGACCATTACTTTTCTTCTTTTATTCACCATGGTTGGTTAACACCCATATCGCCCGTACTGGCTGATTTTCTTCTCATGCCATGAGGTGTTGTCTATAATAATAATAATATACTAGGAACAGGGACGGTCCAAGGATGCTGCCTTGTGGTACTCCTGCAGAGATCGGATAGCGATCGGAGCTCTTGCCGCCGATGACCACTTCCAGCGAACGACCTGTTAAGTAGTCTCAAAGCCAGTCCAGGAGGGGGCCCTTCACACCGATGTTCCGCAACTTGTGCAGTACACCTGTGTGGGAGACTTTGTCAAAAGCCCCGGCGATGTCGACAGCAAGCACCTCCACAGATCCACCAAGGCCAGATGTGGCCGACCACTTGTGGTGTAGTCCCGTAAGTAGATCGGATGGACCTAGGCCTCGGCGGGGACGTTTTGTCCCTCCAGAAAGTTCATTAACTGGCGGTTGATGATGGACTCCATTACTTTGGAACATATAGAAAGCAGCGAGACTGGTCGGTAATTCTTTTCAGCGGATTTGGAGGACTTTTTGTATACTGGAACTACTCGGGCAACCTTCCATGCCTGTGGTTGGTGGCCAGTACTGAAAGACAGGGAGAAGAGGCGTGCTAGGGGCCCCGCAAGCTCAGTTGCGCATTCCTTGAGTACCCTAGCTGGGATATTGTCCGGTCCAGTGGCTTTGGAGGAGTCGAGTCTTGCCAGATGTCGTCGTACTGTGTCAGCCCGGAAATGGATCCTTGTGACTGATGGAGTTTTACTGTGGCCAGAGGCAGCAGGCAGGCTGTCCACTGATATGTCGGAGGCAAGACTGCATTTCTTGGAAAAGAATGATCCAAAGCAGTTTGCCTTTGCCAGGTTGGTTGCGCATTCCTGCCCATGTGCATCAATCAGGGTTGGGATATCAGAGGAGCGCTTAACACCAGCGACTGATTTCATCACCGACCACCACTGTTTGTCACGCAGATTACCCGCACAGAGCTTAGCCCGGACACGCCGTTCCCAAGCTAGGCGGGCCGTGTCCATCACAGTTGAGGCATGGTTGACTGATTGTAAAAATGTCTGCTTCAGAGGCTCAGAAGATGGAAATCTCCTCCAGCGCCGCCAGGCCTGTTCCTTGAGGACTACTGCGTCCAGACACTCTGGGTTCCACCATGGAGGGTCAGAGGGTGTTGTAGTGTATTGCTTGCACGGGATAAATCGGTGCATCCCCACTAGAATTGTCTCTGAGATGACATCCCAGACCTTGTTGCAGTCGGTATGGGGAGCAGTGACTTGCAGCCAATCTACGGATCTGAAGTGTGCCCTCAGTCTCGACCAATCGGCTTTGTTGTAGCGCCATACTGTTCTAGTAGAGCTCTCCTCCTCTGAGGGAGAAACTGTCAAGAAGTCTGCGATGATGACCGCATGGTCAGAGCGTCCAAGGGGCTTACAGATAGAAGTGCTCACATGTCCAGGCAAGTCTGAAAGGACAAGGTCTAGAATGGCATCACCTCTAGTGGGATCCGTGATATGCTGCGTGAGGCAATAAGCAGATGCTAGATCCTCCAGTGCAAGACCAGCCAATGTTGTTTTACTACTTTTGAGCCAGGCGGAATTGTGGACATTAAAGTCCCCTGCAATGACTACATGGTCACCGAGTTGCTGTGCTGCAGGTAATGAGCTGTCTAGGTAGTCGATGACGGAGCAATCTGATGGGCTACTTGAACCGGAACGATACACAGCACAGACTACAACCTTGCCATGAGAGCATGAATCTACTAAGAGCCATACTACCTCAAAACCTTTACAGTCAATGGCGTCAAGGTGCCGAGCATGCAGGTTGGACTTCACCCAGACAGCTACGCCCCCGCCTGAAGCAGTTCGGTCTTGGCGAATAGGTGCTGCATAGCCAGGAATAGTTGACATGGCGAGTGGAGATACTTCCGTGCTTCATGTGTTTTGCCTCTTCAGTTGTGTTTTCCTTCTCTTCAGATTTGTTTTATAATAAATGTCTTCTTGCTAACTGTAGACATATCATGGCGCAGTGAACTGTTCGTTCCTTGTAGAACTCACCTGTGTGTTTAGTTTCTCGTGCTTTGTGTTTGCACCTCGTTGTGTTGCGCACTCGCCGATTTTTTTGTAGTTTGTTCGTGATACTAGCATTTGCGTAGGTTGCGACCACGATGTCCGACTCAGACCCTGCTCCTGACATTGTTGCCCTGACCGCGATGTTGGCGGCACAAATGAAGTCCTCAGAGGAGAGGGAACGTAAAATGGCTGACCTGTTCCAACAAACTATACAACGACTGACACAACCAACACAACAACCCGTGCAACCCAGCACCACATCACCAGCTCCGAAGCCTGTCTCTGCGGAGCGACCGATTTTACTGTCGTCCTCGACATTAGCCGACTTCACGGCATGGCAGGAAATGTGGCGAGACTATTATGAGTGCCAGCACCTGTCAGCCCAGAGCCGTGAGACCAGAGTGTCCTCGCTGCGGCAAGCTCTTGATGAGGAGCTACGCAGATTTCTCCGCGAGGGTATTATCGTGACTCCACCGAATCCCGATGCGGACGATGGGATTTCTGCAGTCAAGGAATATTTGCGACGGCAGCGCAACCCACTCCTGGATCGTATCGCATTTTACGATAGGTGTCAATCGAAAGGCGAGTCTTTCGATTCTTTTTACACTTCGTTGAAAGAATTACACACTAGCTGTGATTTTCCGGACGTTGTTTTGTGCTCACAATGTTCAGCACACACATGTAGTACCTGTCGCACAAGCCTGACACGTGTGCGTGCTGACACCCTGCGTGACAGGATTGTCATTGGAGTTAGTGACGACGCTACCCGGCACAAGCTATTGTCTGCCAAGGACTTGACCCTGAACGATGCAGTCACAATTTGCCGGGCGGAGGAAGCGGCTACCACGACGAGCAGCAGTATCCCGTCCACCAGCCAGCTCAATGCTGTGCGGCGGTCCGCATACCAACGCAGTAAGCAACAATCCCGACAGGGACAGCCTGGCAGCAAGATGTCTGCACCTGTATTGCCATCTGCATCCGCTCCCTCGTCAGGAAGCGACACACACAAGAAGTGCCCCAATTGCGGCCGGAGCCCGCACACAAAGTCTAGTTGCCCTGCCAGCGGCAAGAAATGTAATGGCTGTGGCAAGACTGGTCACTTTCTCGCCATGTGTAGGTCGTCGTCACAATCGGACCGGAACGTGAAGCATGTGGGCCAACTGAAGTTGCAGCGTACTCGTCTTGCTGCGCAGCCTACTGTGCGTGTGTCCACCCGTTTAGCCACTGAGGATGAGGCAGTCACGCTACCCTGGGTCCCTGATACTGGCAGTGACGTCGATGCCATTGGCGAGCATCATCTCGAACTGCTTGGCGGGTTCCCCGAGAACCTCGACCATGACCCAGAGTGCGTCCTAGCGGCATCTGGAGAGCAGTTGCAGAACGTCGGCAGTATTCGTGCTTCACTTCAGGTTGGCGAAGTACAACACAGCACCGTAATCCACGTGTACAAGGGTCTGGACGATGCTCTTCTATCACGTTCGTCCTTGAGTGCACTCCAGCTCCTCCCGTCAGATTGGCCTGCACAGTACCCTGCTGCTAATGCTGCCGCGCCACCTAAGATCCGTGCTGTATCAAAGCCTGTTGTCAATCCTAGCTCTGCTGATATCGCTCGTGTTCGCGATGAGCTACTGCAGGAGTTCTCGGACGTGTTTTCCGACACTGGCTTGAAGGCGATGGCAGGTCCTCCGATGGACATCCAACTTCAGCCAGATGCTAAGCCGTCATGTGTTCATACCGCACGCCCGATTCCGTACGCGTTTCGTGACCAGGTCAAGTCACAACTGGACACAATGGTTGTCGATGGCATAATCGAGCCTGTCAGTGAGCCTAGTGAATGGTGTCACCCGATTGTGCTCGTCGACAAGAAAGGTACCACTGAGAAACGCCTCACCGTCGATTTCAAATGATTGAATGACCAAGTCCTGAGACCAGCCCACCCTGTTCGCACTGCTCTCGATGTGGTTTCTGGTATTGGATCGGCACAGTTCCTCACCAAGCTTGATGCAAGGCACGGATACTGGCAAATCCCACTGAGTGAGCAGGCATGTCCAATGACCACATTCACCACCCCATACGGCAGGTATCGTTTCCTACGCAACCCTCAAGGCCTGATTTCCGCCGGGGATGTTTTCAACTGCCGCACTGATGCTGCGTTCGATGCAATCCCGAATTTCGCCAAGGTTGTAGATGATTGCCTGGCCTATGATGACGACTTTGCCTCCCATGTCACCCATGTTCGTGACATCCTGCTGTGTGCTCGACAGCATGGCATTACTCTGAGCCCGTCCAAATTCACCTTTGCGTCACGTCACATCCATTTCTGCGGCTACATTGTCAGTCCAGACGGCTGGGTTGTTGACGATGACAAGGCAGCGGCTATTCGCGATTTTGACATTCCTGCGAACCGCACTGATTTGCGTTCGTTTCTTGGCCTGGTGAACCAGTGTAGCGAGTTCTCACCACACCTCGCCGCCTGCACCACTCCGCTTCGTGGTCTGTTGAAGACGACCCGTGAATTTGTCTGGGATGCCAACCACACTGTTGCGTTCGAGAAGACCAAGTCTACTCTGCTGTCTCCTCCTATCCTGGCATTCTACCAGCATGGGCAGGCACGACCTCCGTCTGGAGACTGATGCCTCTGCACTACGTGGTCTCGGCTTCGTTCTGTGGCAGAAGCAGGACGATAAGTGGCGAATCATCCAGTGTGGCTCCCGCTACCTCTCTGATGCCAAATCTCGCTATGCTGTTGTTGAGCTCGAGATGCTCGCCGTCGTTTGGGCTTTGCACAAGTGCAAGTTGTACTTATCCGGCACCCTATTTGATCTGATCACTGATCACCATCCGTTGATCCCGATTATCAACGCGTATTCTCTAGATCAGATCGAGAATCCTCGCCTTCTCCGTCTTCGCCTGAAGCTGCAGTCGTTTCAAGTGCACGCTTCCTGGCGAAAAGGCTCTGATCATGCGTTTGCTGACGCGCTGTCTCGCAATCCCGTCGTCATCCCGTCTTCAGATGATGAACTCGGCGAAGCCCCTGCTCTTCATTGCCGCAGCATCCGTGTGTGCATGCTCCGTAATGATGGTCCTCACCCCAACCTGAAGTTTGCTGAACTTCGAGCAGCCGCCTCAGCTGATCCAGTCTATCAGTCTCTTGTCCAGTGCGTTCTGCATGGTTTTCCCGCTCGTCAGCGTGATTTGGATGCTCCACTCCAACCCTTCTGGAATGGACGTGAGCACCTGTCAGTGGACCAGGGCATCGTCATGAAAGGCCAACGCATTCTAGTTCCCTTGGCTATGCGTCAACGCGTTCTTGCTAACCTTCATGCCTCGCATCAAGGTCTCGTCCGCACTAAGGCTCGCGCCCGACAGCTCATGTACTGGCCTGGTCTCACCGCCGACATAAGACACCCTTGTCCGTGCCTGTTCCGCGTGTCGAGAATTCCAGTCGTCGCAGTCAGCCGAACCACCGATGAATGACCGTCATCCTACTCTGCCGTTCGAGTTTGTGTCCGCTGATCTGTTCTCTTGCCAAGGCTATGAGTTTCTTGTTTATGTCGACCGTCTGACTGGTTGGCCGTGCGTTGTTCGAACCGGCAGGACCACGTCATCACACGATATCATCCTCGCTTGTCGTCGTTGGTTCGCCGATCTGGGTGTGCCTGCTGTACTGTGCACCGACGGTGGCCCCCAGTTTGCATCAAAGAAGTTTGCCGACTTCTGTAGCCGTTGGCAAGTGCAACGCGTATCCTCTTCCCCACATTATCCCCAGAGTAATGGACATGCGGAAGCCGCAGTGAAAGCTATGAAGCGCTTGCTGCTCAAGACCTCGTCAAATGGCAATCTCGACACAGATGCATTTCGTCGTGGTCTACTGGAGTGGCGGAATACGCCCGGTCCGTCTGGCAAGAGCCCAGCTGAGCATCTTCTCGGGCATCCACTTCGGTCTTTCGTCATTGCTGAGTGGACGCAGTTTGATTCCTCGTGGTCGACCGTCGCTAGTGAGCGTGAAGAACAGTCACCACCCTCGACACCTGTTTCAGGCAGTACTCCCACCCACCGCTCTCTTCCCGTTCTCCGTATCGGCACTCCTGTGGACGTCCAGGATCCGAAGACGAAGCGTTGGACAACCCGTGGCGTGATTGTGGCCATTGGGCAGCACCGTGACTATTTCGTCAAGTTGGCTAGTGGTCGAGTTTATTGGAGAAATCGCCGTTTTCTTCGTCCGTTCTCTCCACCCGTGCCGTCACCAGCACCATGTGTTTCACCACAGCCGTCTGTTGTCGTTGCTCCTGCTACGCCTCCCCCTCTGCGTCGCAGCACACGAGCGCACCAACCACCCTCTCGTTTGAACATTTCCTCCACCCGTGGACAGTCTTATGCATCTTGATTTGTTCTGGACACATCGTGTACATGTTCTTGAGGATTGTTCTTATATCGTATCTTTCTGTATCCTTGTGTGGCATGCTATGTCTGTTCCGCCGTGTGCTATGGGCCGTTGTTTGCCATACTTGTTCTTTTCTTGTTTTGATTTGATTTGATAGATAATACTGGATTTGTTTTCTCAGCATTATCTCGAAGGGGCGTGATGTATATTATTATTATTATTATAGACAACACCTCATGGCATGAGAAGAAAATCAGCCAGTACGGGCGATATGGGTGTTAACCAACCATGGTGAATAAAAGAAGAAAAGTAATGGTCAAGACGGAGAAGCATGGGAGGGACAGGTGATGGTGAATCTAGTGAGCAGATTTAAATGCGTCCAGGGTACTGGCATTGCGCGTAGTAGCGGGCAGCGCAAGCCAAGCAGAGTAAGCAACAAAGAGTGGAGAGCGTACAAGGGAGGACGTTTTAGCCAAGGGGAGGGCAACAGAGCATCTTGTCTGGGAGCCATCTGTGATTTGGAACCAGTTATACACGTTAAGATGAGGAGGATGTAGAGCTAGTTTAAATTTGTGAGCAAAAGTGCAAATTAATTTTTGACGGTGGGTCGACAGTGGGCAAGCATTTGCAAGGACATACAGGGAAGCAGAAGAGTAGAGAGGGGGTAGACTAAACAGGATACGAAGAAGTTTTCTATGGTGGATTTCGAGACGCTCAGCGAGAACCGAGGACAAGCCACACCAGCTAACAGCAGCGTACATGAAAAGAGGCAGGATGTACAGTTTGTAAAACAAATTTTACATTTGAAAGGAAGATGGGAACAATGGGGACGTATAACACCTAGGGCAGAGCTTGAACGGCTGCAAAGAGCATCAATATGGAAAGACCAAGAGAGACGATCATCAAGCATTATTCCCAGGTGTTTATGGTTGGAAACAACCTTTATGGGTTCTGGGAAATCAGGATGGTGTAAAAGTGACATGGATGAGATTGGGGGAAGGAACATTATTTCGGTTTTAGTCAGGTTGGGTCTAAGTCGCCATGTTTGCATCCAGCGTAGGACACTGCATATCTGAGCCGACACTCGAGGTACAAGAGCCGCTGAGGACGAGGATGCTGACAGTAGGGTTGTATCATCAGCAAATAACGAGACACCTGGGTCTATAGAGGGTAAATCATTAACGTATGCTACGAACAAAAGAGGTCCAAGTATGGAGCCTTGGGGAACTCCAGAAGACACTGGTAGAGGATCAGAGTTGATGGAGAGGGCAGAAACAAACTGTGATCGGCTACTCAGATAGGACTCCAGCCAGGACAGAGCAGGGCCAGACACACCAAAGACAATATGTAGCTTGGCAAGGAGGCCACGATGCCAGACAGTATCAAAGGCCTTTGCCAAGTCAAAGAAACAGAGAGCAATATGGTGTCGAGCATCACGAAGGGTGGCAATGTCTTGTACTAGACGAGCTAGTTGGTCAGAGGTTGAGTCGTTGCGCCGAAAGCCAGATTGGGAAGGGCTAAGGCATGGTGAAATGTGGCAATACAACTGGTCGTAAAATACCTTTTCACATACTTTTGAAAGGGAGCAGAGAAGAGATATTGGACGATAGTTTGAGGCTTGTAATCGGGAGCCTTTACACTTGTAGATGGGCGTGACCTTAGCGATCTTCCAACGATCAGGAAATACGCCGGAGGAGTAGGAAAGGTTGAATATAAGGCACAGTGGGTACGCCAGAGATGGAGCCAGAACTTTGAGAACTTCATTTGGTAGGGCATCAGGACCAGGGCTTTTGTTGCTTTTTAGTCTTTTTAGGTAGCTGCGAACAGATGATGTGGTGGTATGTATAGAGCGCAGATCAGAAGACACAGTCGCAGAACGTTGCAGAGGTGGTATTGGAGAGGAATGGGCGTCTGGAATACCAGCTGATGTGAATTGCGTATTGAGAGTATTAGCTATAGACTTGGGGTCAGTCACCATCGAACCATTGGAAGCTAATAACGGTGGTATGTCTTGACGTGTACTAGTTGTCCTTTGAGTGCGAACAAAGGTATACAGGTTAGGCCTGGAAGAGGGGTGAGATAGGGTGGTAGTGAGCGAACGTAAATATGCTCGATACTTAGAACGTGACAATGACTTCACCAGATTGCGCTGTTTTTTGTATAAAGAAATATTAGCGTACGTGGAGTACTTCTTACTTAAGCTATAGTAGTCGTATTTGAGTTTAATTGCACCTTGGAGATCTTTGTCGAGCCAAGGGATCTTGGGGTTACGGCTGGACTGACGAGGGTGGTGGCTGCCATGTTTGGGTGTAGCGGGTCTTGCTCCGTATTGTGGCACATAGAAGGAGAGCACGTCATCAAGAACTGTGGTGAACTTCTCCACAGCTTCATCAGCAGCAGTGGAGGTGAATAAAAGATGCCAGTCACAGGCAAAAAGTGCAGAGTTGATGATTGACCAAGTGGAGGGTGTAACCTTGCGGAAGGCATGTCGCGGAGGGGTAGGAGTCTGAGAGCAGTTGTAAGAGGTGTCAGCAGTGGCAATGTTGTAGGCTAGCGTTGTAATGACTTGCAAATGATCCGATGCAGCAAGCGGGGCAGCATCGTCAACAGAGCGTACAGAGAGGGGGCGGTTCGTAGCAAGCAAGTCCAGACAGGACAGTCTTCCATTCGGAGCGACACGGGTGGGGAAATTGACAAGCTGCTGGAGGCCAAAGCGAGTGCACCTACTGTCAATTATGTCCCAGCAACTTACGCCTTCGACAATGATCATACTGTACAAAGGGTTCGTAAGACCTGTGATCGAATATAGCTGTACGGTGTGGTCGTTTGGATCTAATAAGAAACCCATGACCATTCTTGATCAATTACAGGCAAGGTTTGCTAGAGCTCTACTGAAAAAGAAAAAAATTGCATTTGATTACACTTCTTCCAAATCTGTCTTAAATTCTAAATGCTCCCTAGAGTCACTAGCCTATCGTCGTCAAATCATCAGTCTCACTACTTTTCACAGATATGTTTTCCATCATCGTGATTACCTTGCTGATTTCCATTTCAAGATTACGAATAGAGAGCGACGACCAAATAAAATCATTCTTCCCAAATTTAAATCATTGTCTAAGTCTCTCTTCATGTTCCGAACTGCTATTCTATGGAACTGTTTACCCCCCAGTCTAACATCGGAAGCCTCGCTCTATAAGTTCAAAGCTGCCCTCAGGAAATTTACAGCTGACTATGCTTATGCAATCAACGGAATTCCGCCACCTTGCAGTTGATTTTCCCCATTTCTCTCCTCATCAATCCCTACTTCTCTTTGTACATACATCTACATCTACTGTTCTTTCAATCAAATGAACCCCTCGATAGGCACATTGCCTTTGGGTCATTTCATAATAATAATAAAGCTAGAGAACACGTGTGATAGCTCCGTACCAGCACGCGATGTGGTGTCACCACTCCACCAGTCAGAATTGTGGGCATTGTAGTCACCGGTAAGAAAAACATCAAATAAAGAGAGGTCCAAGGAACACAGCGTGTCGGTAAGTATGTCGCAAAAGGAGGTGATATCAAGAAGGGATTGTGAAGGGGGGCGGTAATGACAGCAAATGAGTAGCGGATTGGCCCGGAGACCTGCCGGTGCACCAAGCTCAAGCCATAAGGCCTCGCTTTGGGGAGAATCAAGGTCATGGCGACGGGTGCAATGTGGAAATGTCCCATCACGTATGAGAATGGCCACGCCACCATATCCACGTAGGTTTGATCTCAGGTTCTTATGTGTAGATCTGTCTTTACGGAAGCATGTGTAGCCTGGAACACTGAATGAAAGTGACGGGCTTAGCCAGGTTTCTGTTAAACATATTATGGTGGGCTTGTTGGCCTGACATATTGCGTACAATTCCGGAAGTTTGTTTGTTACAGAGCGACAGTTGATAGTTACAATGTTAATAGAATGTGCGTGGTCCGGGAAAAACGGGAAAGCATGAGCGCTCAACGGGGTGAAGACCGACATTAGTTTGTGGTAGGGGCGTCGTGGAGCTGCTGGTGATTAGGAGTTTTAGTAGTTTGTTGTCCAGAATCAGGAAGGAATGGTGGTGCAAGTGGAATATGACCACTAGACATAGAAGAATATGTAACGCAATGAGGGGAAGGGTGTGATGAACTTGCGTGGGGCACAAAGGGTTGGGCAAGAGGATTTAGCTGTTGGCTAGGTGACCGAGGACCCATCACTTGCTAGCGGAGTCGGCATAGCGCCATTTGCGGACGGTGTGCGCAATGGTGTCGGGCCAGAATTCCTTGTCAAGCAGCGTTTGCTCAAACTCTTCCGCGACAGAAACGCGTGCATAGCAGGTACCAAAGTATTGGGTTTCGGCAATTGTGCATGCGTATACATCAACGCCCCTATCAGCGCACCAGGTGACAATGGACTGTGCCTTACTTCCAGGGCTAACATTCCCGACAAAGAAGGCACATCGCTTGGGAAGATGTGTGCCAGTGAGTGTGTTGGGGTTGGGTTTTTCAGTGGCCATTTTTCTGTAGACAGACCCCCATGCCATATTTTTTAATTGCAGCATATCATAGCACAATGAGAACACCGGCCAATACAAAGAGAGAGGGTGTTAGCCAACCACGGCAAGGAAGGGAGAAGGGGAGGAGAAGAAAAAAAGGAACCGGCATGGATAAGTAGTGATTGCAACAAAATGAGAAACGCAAAATCAAAGTCAAGGCGCGACAAGGCTCTTAAAAAGGCGGAGGGAAGAAAGGTCCTTAGCTTCTTGGGGAAGTGCCAGCCACGCAGAGTACGCAGTGAAAAGGGGAGAGTGAAGTAGAAAGGAGGACTTGGGTTTCGGAAGGGAAAGGGAGTTTCTCGTGCTACGGGAAGAAAACCAGTTGAAACAGTGGAGGTGAGGTGGACACAGATTGAGTTTGAGAGAATGGATAAGGGTGACAAGATGTGAATTACGTCTCTTAGACAAAGGGGTAGTGTGAGCAAGGGCATAAAGGGTGGA